GAAATGTGGTTTATTTTCTTTTTGTATAGAGAAGATTTTGATGGAAACTAGAGATAGCACCAAATCAAAGGTGAAAGACATGTGTTGTATTTTTTAGAGTTTTAGAATGATTATACCAGCTTGGCATTGTAGTGTCTTGCTCGAAGGCTTGTATGTGGTTGATTGAGCAGATTATAGAATCCAATGGTGGGATTGGCGATCCAATCTCTAATGGTTTTCTGAAATAGAATCAACTAGTTAAATGAATACAAATCTACCTGATATGTTCATACTTATAGTAGATAATATTCTTTGATGTGCAGCATCATTCTCTCTAAATCTATCAGGATCCTTTGATTTTCAAGATTTTAACTGAATTTTTCTAGAAATTATGATACAGAATTATGACCAAGTTCGGATGGTTGATAACATGCTAAGCTGTTCATTATCAATCTGTACATTGTTAAATTTGGATACTACCATCATGCGAATAATTTATTTTTTATTAGCATGTCTCATAGTCTCAGTGACCATTGTTGTCAAAGATGAGACCTACTTTATAATTTGTTCATGGATTACCAATTCTGAGGATTGTAGTTCTTAGGTATTTGAAAACATATATACTTTCAGTTGTGAAATTGAAATTTTGAACGTTTCCAAATTTCGCCTTAGGTTTCATCCGGCTTGTATTGATATGACACCAGAGGAAGCCAAAATCGTCGATCACTTCTACTGCCATAGTTGTTCCTCGGAAGATCAGAAGAGATTAGAAAATTCTAATGCTTCTACAAGAACTCCTGATACAGAGGTATTTGCTCGCTCACTGCTAAATTTATATGCTGTCTGTTATCCTCTTAATTTGTTATCAATTTACAGCACTTAATGGTTTGAAGATTAGGAGGCGGAATATATACATTTTTCTTTTTTTTCTCCTTTCTTTTTTAATTAAATAAATTCATATTTCTAGTTATATAAGTTGGAGGATAAGGTTGGGTAGGATTTGACCTTCAGCATCCTTTCTAGAAGAGGTCTGTTACTATTATTTAGCTGTTCAAATTCCTTTGCTCACATCTTTGCCAAATTTTACACTTGAAAATCTTCTGTTCACAGTGAGGTATTGTTTAGTTACACAAAACCTCCAGCTATCTTTGAGAATATAGCTACCCATTTGATATTTTTATCTTTTTCTGAGGGATAGTTGCAACATTCACTGCTAGTTTTAACCAATTACAAATGAAGCACATTTTTTTAATCTTTGGCATCTTTGCAAGTTACCCGAAAAAAAAATAACTACCATCTACTGGAACCCATAGCAGCCTTTTTCTTAGGTAGATAAAAGATCAATTGGGTTGTTTGTAATTTGAAACTCGACAGTTTCTTTACTTGCAATTCATCTTTTTTTGCAAACACGAAAGCAAGTATGAGAGGGTCTCATATAGGTGTTACGTTGGACATGCCTTTCCAAATAAAATTTAAGGTGAGAAGTCATATTTAAAAAAAAAAAGAAAAGAAAAATGTAAGTTACATAACTAGTTGCTTTGAAGAGTATGATTTTTTGTTTTTAAAAAGATTTTATAAAACGCACAACGTGCAAAAAGAAAACCTGAATGATACAACCAACGACTGAATAAACTGAGATGCAAATCCGAAGATCGTCTAGAACCGGACCTAGCAACTCTAGAAAACACAGACAAAACACTACAAACAAATACTACCACTAACTAAAAGATCCAAAAGGATAATACCCGAGTGAGAAACAATACCAACAGGATAATAAGGCACTCACTCAGGAGAAAACAAAGGCCAACGACCCAAACCAAAAACACGAGAACGAACTAACTAATCCAAAGCAACAAAACAAATAAAATAACTGAACTCAAACAAAACAAGCACTTCCCAATCAACTAAAACCAAACAAAGTCAGTGGAACAGGTCGACCCAAAATGAGTCCTGCAGCAAGAAGGACCAACCCCGAAACTGCCAAAAACCACTCGGTTGCCTAACGGAGTCGAAACCCCAACCACATAACATCTCCCAAGCCAACACACACCATGACAACACCACCAAATTTCCCCCGAACACTGGACCAAACCCTCGAATACCACTAGCTTGCTGATTCAGCTGTACTCGAAGGACAAGAGAGTGCCATGGCCCAGCCCCGACCCCCAAACCACCTGGAAGTAGCCCAAGGCCCTCCGCACCACCACAACACCACGCCAACCACTGGCCGAATAATAGCCGCGACAGCCACTCCCGACCCAACACCAGGAGAGGGAGGCGGCCTTAGGCGACTG